TTCTGACCCTATCACACTTCTCAAAAACATAAGGTCTAAGTTGTTTTTTAGACAAAACCAAAATTAAGCCTTGACCCCTGAAATCACATTTAGGATTCATATACCAAGTCCAACAAACATTTCATGTCAAAAATACTCCGGAATTTTTATGTCTTTAAGCAGCCCTCCTCTCTCTACTTATTCTTTCTTTTTAGAGATATTGTTAACATTGTATCAAAATATGATTTCAGTCACACTCAAAAGGAAAATATTTCCCAGAATTGACCAATAATATAAAGTAACAAAGGTGTGAATCCTAGAAATTGCTTGGCAGCCTTAATAACCCCAGAGAAAATATTTATTTTAGTCAGATGATTGTAATGTTTATCTCTTTTTTAGAAACAACTACTGCCAAAATAAACATTTGCACTGGAAGAAATGTGTCGGGTTGTAAAGAAGCTACCAAATAAAACGCTTATGTTCTGAAATAAGTATTTAACTCAAAAAATACGCAGCAAAATAGATATAACCAAAGAGCACAGATGATAAATTAGACACAAATTAGAATACTGCTTCTGAAAGATCTCTTCAAAAAGGAACCTGTTTTTAATCCACTTTTTAGTTTTAAGTGCTAAGTTCAGATAGATCACTATAACAAAAATAACATTTCTATTTAATTTTGCCACTTTCAAGAATGAGCATATTCCACTGTTTGTTGTAAAGGTTTTCACAATATAGATTTTTAAAAAACTAAATCATGCGCAAGGACCCAAGTTCGATCCCTGGTACCAAAAAAAAAAAAAAAACTAAATCATGGGCCAGGGATTTAGCTCAGTGGTTCCGCTGCCTGCCTCACAAGTGCAAGGTCCCAAATTCGATCCCTGGTACAAAAACAAAAAAACTAAATCATTTCTTCTCATTATAAAAGCACTCATGAAATTATATTGCTCATTTTATTTTCTTTCCCTTTCCTCAATTGTATAATTTCAACAGGCATCACACTATCAAATATCTGCAACAAAGTAAGGATAGTTAAAATATCAACCTGAAAACTCAGGGAAAAAATCTCACATTGCATAATTAAAATCTGCTTCACTTAAATAAAAAACTCAACTTCTGTAGTCGTTTTATCCTGAGTGTTTTCTGTTTGTTTTTAGGATTTCTGTTTGTCTTTATTTTGCTTTGCATTACTAGGAATTAAACTTAGGCGGTACTCTACCTCTAAGCTTTACCCCAACCCATTTTTTTTATTTACTTATTTTTCATTTTCAGATGAGGTCTCACCAAGTTGCCCAGGCAGGCCTTGAACTTGCAATCCTACTGTCTCAGCCTCCCAAATAGCTGGAACTACAGGCATACACCACCATACTCAGCCATAAAAATCTTTTTTTTTTTTTTTTTTGTACTGGGGATTGAACTCCGGTCCTTGCACTCAAGAGGCAGGCGGCAGAACCACTGAACTAAATCCCCAGGCCATAAAAATCCTTTTTTAAAGCAAGCTAGCAAAAGTTCATATATGAATAAATATTCACGGAGGACAAGAAAAATGGAATAAACTTCTGCTCACCCACAACCCTGATCCAGTAAATAAATACTTTGGTGTCTTTAAAAAGAAAAAATCCAGGGCTGGGGATTTAGCTCAGTGGTTCCGGCGCCTGCCTTGCAAGCACAAGGTCATGAGTTTGATCCCTAGTACAAAAAAAGAAAAGAAAAAGAAAAAAATCCAAAAAACAGATTCTAGTAACCTTAAAAATTATATATCTATGTAGTTCTGCATTAAATGAAATCAACCAGTATATTTTTGTTAACCATCCCCAGCTTTGAATTCCAGGAGCCTGGAGGCAGAACATTCTCCACAGAGGCATAGAAAATTCATTTCCCATCTCAGCTCAATAAAAACCCAAGTAGACCAGTTTTTAGGAAAACATGCAAAACTAATCTCTTTAGGCATGTATTTGCCTGATGACATGGGAGAATCAGCAAGTGAAAGATCACAAATCTAGTTCCGGTTAATAAAGACAAAAATGATATACTACTGTCATGTCATGCTTTGATGATCCAGTGATGAGTACATTTTAAAAATAAAATTATCACCATACAAATCAAGAATCAGGAGTTTAATACTGTACTAAAATCAAACACCCAGTGGCTAAGTTCCTCCTGACTGTCAAAGACCAAAAACAATTTTAAAAGTAAGATATTATCCATGTTAAATTTCATACAAGCACTGCAGTTCTTTTTAACAGAACAGTCATTTAAAATTCCTATCACAGGAATGGAATGCCAGCCAAGAATCAAACTGTGACCTCTGAGCCAAAGACAACTTACCATTCGGCTTGTAAGTGGGCAACTCAATTTACAAACTTGAATTCCTACATTTTAATCCTTTGCAGAAATATATGAGCAATATTAAATGAACTGGATTCAGCTCATTAGAGGTTCACAAACCAAACACAGGAAGCTCTGGAAGGCATCCAAAGCAAAGTCATGTCTAGGTGGTGATGTCCACTCAATAAATACTCAACATCATAATTATTTTTCAACTCTTCCCCTGAAGAACATTAGCAGTCACAACTATAACAATGCTAAGCCAATTAAATTAATCCTGGAAGAAAATGGATAGGACTAGCAGCCAATCACAGTGCCAGGAACTAGTTTGTGGACACACTTATAATTCCCAAAACCTGTAAACAAAGCAACTCATTGAAAATTCCTCACCAAAGATTCAAGCTAACAAAACAACGCTGTAACAACTTTTACTCAAATCCTTCACTAATTCTTTTCCATTTCAAATCGATTAAGAATTGTTCACATGGACCTATGTTATAAAATCTCTGAATTTCCTTTAAAATGTTACACACATTCAAAAATGTATTCACAGCTACTTTTAGCTTTTTAAATTTCAAAACAAGATACTGTATTTCAAAGCTGTATTATAACTAAAAGAAAGGGTGAAAAAGCAATACAGAGTATTCAGACCCTTGATTACAATTAACTCAATATGAAAACCTGACATTTTCGCAGCCAGGATATACAGTTTCATACCAGATACAAACTGTTTTCCTCTCATTATCAGAAAGAACTGTGCACTTAGAACTGGCTAGCAATAAAATGGCTAGCTATTCGTTTTCACTATCAATAAAATGTCTAACCTGAAATCTTAATTAAAAACTTGCTGAAATACTTGATAAGCAATATTCACAAATTTCTTCCCTCAACTAAGAGTTGTTACATTATACAAGTATAGAATAGTCACCAAGATTAAATAAAACCAAAAACTAACAAAAATGAGTGACCCTATACATACTATATTTTTGTATGTCCTTTAATTTTAGCCTTATTTATTGGAGAGGAGATAATAAAATTTCCCAGGTTCAGAAATTATTCTTCACATACTCTCTCCATTTGTTTCACTGCCACTTTAGTTCTACAATCTGAGTCAATGTCTCAAACTTTTAGCAAGACTAACGTATTCAGAAAAGAGATAAAAGTGCTTGCTTCGGCAGCACATATACTAAAATTAGAAAAGAGATATAGGAGCACCTAGTTCTTGCCCTAAAAAGTACCATTTGAAAACAACTTTCCAACCTCATTCATATCAGGAAGATATGATAAGACAGAAGGTACTGAAACAAAAGGCAGCATGGCAAGCATGCACTTCTTCCACTAGCCCTACTACTGCATACTACCTCTCTGCCTCTTCTCCTTTTGTGGCCAGAGTAGCATATGGAACTATCTGCTCCAAATCAAATCAACTATAGAAGACAAGGAGGACTTTACCTGCCTAGGATTTCTTCCCCTCCATAAAGACATAGTTCTAAAACTCTAAAAGGGTTCCCTGGGGGTTGGGGGACTGGTGAAAGGTAATCAGAAACAGAGACAAAAAGGACTTAATTTTTATCATTTACAAATTATTTTCTCAAAATTGGCAGCCTCAACTAAAGACTTTTACTCAAAGAACCAAAATACTGCTCAAAGAAAGGAGTAATGTGGGGAAATTAAAAGTACAATTAAGTATGTGACTGTTGGCATTCTAAATAGCTAATTTTTAATAATTGGGCAGTGAAATCTCCTGACAATAGCAAAGGCTATCCACCTTTTTTACCCTATAAAAGATTTTTGAGCAAACACAGAGAATTTCCTGAGACAAAGTGCTGTTAACCTCCAGAATAGGTTACTGGGCAGCATTACGACATGCTCTAGTCCGAAGGTAGCAAAGCACACACCAGCCTGATGTACTCCCTGGAGGTGTCAGGCACAGTATGGCAATTTATAAATAAGCCTTTCTGGTATTTCTAGAAACTAAATACCCTAACAAGTCTAAATCTAATTCAGTCTTTTCCAAATTTCATGTTTCCTTGGGTCAACATAACAAGGACACATTCTCAAGTATCCAAGACTGTAGGTTTATACTGCTAGAAGGTGCATGGTCATTTCCAGTTCCTCCTTTGATTCTGGAGAAAAGGAGAAAAAGATCAGATCTTTTGTTCAAGAACAGGAAATGTCTTGTATTTAAGTAAAAACACAAAACTCATCAAAATCTAGATCAAATCCCCATAAAAAAATACATAAATCTTTTTCAACAGATATAGAAGAAAGTCTAAGAAATGAAAGCAAAATAATTAAAATAATTAATTTTTTCAAGCTAATGCTATCTTCCCAGAAGACTTCTGAATGACTTGAAAATTCACCTAACGATAGCCTATTCACAACTCAGAATCTGGCAGTGACCTCAGAAATGTGAGAATGCCAACTTCACTTCAGAGCTTACATCTATACAACTGTCTGCAAAATTATGACATGACCCATCTTTAAAATAAAAGTAGCACTTACTGGCTTTCTACCAATAAGCATTTTGTCCACTTCGTTGTAAGATGTTCAACTTTCTATCTTTAAAGAAATAACAAAAACTAAAAGAAAGCAGTAACCAGTGAAGTGTCCCTAATTCTCTTAACACCAATCTTATAGACAGAGAAAGCTACCAGCAAAAAAGGAGGGAGGACAGAAAAACTAGTACCCACCTGCTGCTGCGGGTACTGCATGCCTCCCAGGGCCCCTGGAGCCCGGCCCTGTATGCTGAGGGGGTACCGCTGTGCACCTGGGGGGCCATAGGAGCCTCCTGGGTAAGGACTGCTCTGTTGTGGCTGAGAATGGGGGTTACTGCCCATCCCATACAATTGAGGTCTCTTCATCACCATTGGGTCCATTGGACTGCCCTGTGAAGAAATATACAAAGAGGTAGGTTTATCAATTTATTATTCATTACAGACAATGTTTTGTTATGTTAACACATTAAAATCACAACTACCGGGCCTGGGATTTAGCTCAGTGGTTCCGCCGCCTGCCTCCCAAGCGCAAGGACCCAAGTTCGATCCCCGATACCCCCCACCAAAAAAAAACCAAAACACAACTATTAATTTTGAAAATATTAAACCAATGATCTGCCAAAAATCCAGAAGAATATTAGAAAAAAACCTAAATGGATAAAATTTTTTTTTAACTTTTAGGAAAGTTTTAACAATTAAGAAGGATCTGAAGTAAACAATACAAAGGAAGATTTTTGCATCCTAAGCATCGGAAATTCTATTATGCATATAGGAAATGAACATGATAGTTACTAATCTCACTCCACTCTTTCCAACTTACTAGGAATAAGGGCAAAGGATACTAGGTGATTAGTAATACTGACTTCAACATGTCCTTAGAACAATTTCTCTTTAGACCTGAGTCTGCAAGTCCTGATCAAGCATGACCATATCTGAGTGTTCCTTAAAAAGTGAAAGGGCAGATTTTAGATAATACAAATTTCTAGGGTAAAATTTTTCAAAGAGCACTGGTATTCAGGAATAAGCTCCAGACTACCAGTCAGTCACAAGCCATCTTCCCTGCATAAGTAAGCATCTTATCAAACATAATCAGTTCAAAACTAGACTCTGAGTTTTATTTTTGGTCTAATGCATCAGTTCCTGGGCTTCAAGGCCGAAGCATGAGGACAGCCAGGAGCTGGGCCTCAGCGGGCCCTTAAACCCTAGGCAGAGTGAATAGTGCAAGAAGTCCCTGATCCAAACCTACAATGCTCAATGGCATCTACTCAACAGATCTTTTCTTCCTTCAAAACCATGCAGTGATCCCTACCGTGTGCCAGACTAGATATTTACATGGTACATAGGGATTCAATGGAAGGCTTGAGTATTACCAAGATAAATGGGAATAACAGGTTCAAGCAGGGGCAAGGCAGCACAAGACGTGGGCTCAAGGGAGACGAACTGCCTGGTGTATTGAGGAAATGTAAGCAGTTTGGATCAACTGAAGCAGGAGTCTGCAGAAAAGCAGCTGAAGGAGGCAGAAAACAGGAGGGGGCTGGTGCATAAAGGTCACTTGATATCATCTTATGGATGAACCACTAAGTGCTTTTACAGAGGGCTGGTGTTCACAGCCACCAGTCAGTAAACTTGCTCTGTCAGAAAGTACCTGAAAGCAGGTCCGGGTACTGCACTGTCAGGTGCAGCTGCAGTCTTGAACTGTCAGCAAAGCAAGGAAACACCAAGTCCAGATTCCAGTCACACTCAGAAGGACTTAAAGACTAGGAAGTGACAGAAGACAGGTGGTAAAACAAGTGAGATGGTGTACACAGTGAGAGTGGCGCCACCCTCTCCCATGTTCTACACATGAAAGCTGAGGTGCTAGTGGGAATTCCAGGTAAAAATACTCAGAAGAAAATGACACACTGAGTTTGTGCTAGGGGAGTAAGTTCTGATCTAGAAAATGAGAAGAGAATTCATGTTGATGAAGTATGCACCCAGAGGGCAGGGGATTTTCTGTTTTATTCACTATTACCTCTCCAGGGCATAAGTCAAACAAGTGTTCGGCATGTAATAAATGCTCAATAAATGCTAGATAAATTATCAAAGAGGAAGGAAGTAAAACCACAAACTTTATTTTAAAAGACTATATGAAAAGAAAACCATGGGTAGTGAAACAAGTCTTAGAGATCATCATATAAGCAAAAGAGAGGAAAATGAGCCCATAAAGAAGCCAAAGAATTATCAGAAACTGTGGTCAGATTCCACAGGGTATAGTGTCATGGGAGAAAAGTCATATGCTCTGATGAAACAGGGCTGTCACATGCAGCACAGGAGTCCACTAAGGTGAAGGTTAAAAGATTTCACTACACTTGACTAAGAGGTACTTAATGACCTAGGCAAGGACAGTGGTAGTCTCAAGAGATTAGGATGAAAACCAGAACTCTACAAATGGAGGCAGGAAGCAGAGATGAAAGCAGAGCCAGGGATGAGCTCCCAAACCCAAACTGAAAAGGCTGGGAGAACTACCAGTCTCCTTCCACTCATATTTCTCCCACCCCAAGACCGCATGTGGGCATTTTCCTTTCCTCTTTCTTGTTAACTGACATTCATTTTAATGATGTGACTGGACTATATGTACTGATTTTAATGATTTCACTAGTGACTATGCACACTGTGCCAGGCACTAGAAGCAGGAATATGAACAGCTTCAGTGGTGGCCCTGGACATGTACTGAAGGAGACCATCAGAATTCCAACTGAGGGCAGCAGAGATGGGTGGAGAATATAGGAGGAAACAGATGCTTTGCTCTAGGTTCAACCTCCTACAGGGAACAGATCTGCTCCAAATTCACAATTTTATGGAATTTAACTATTATCTTCATCAGCCAAGAAAAAGTTCATACTTAAAATGACAGAAGGTGGATGAGAACATATGGTTTCATTCAAAACAATGCAATGATTGCTATTATGCAACCAATGCTGGCTTCACAACCAAATGTACATAAACACATGTTGATATAGATATGGTAACACCAAAATCTAGGAGTACAAGTTTTTGCACAACTATTTACATTACAAATTACGCCTGAGAAAAGCAAAATGTAATTATCTTCCAGATTTCCTTTTAAAAGATAAAACAGAACTTTCTACAGAAGTGTGAAAACTGAAGGCTGGGCTGGTGATTTTAAAACCAGCCAAGGGAATAAGCTGCCCACAGAAGGGCTGCATAAATCACAATTCAAGCTAATTGTCCAACATGGGGCTCTGCAACAGCTCTATCTTCCCATTTGATCCAGAGAGCCCAAGGCATTAGAAAGGTCTTCTTACTTCCTTTTAATAGTGCCCCACAAAAACTGGTTTAATTAAACCAAAAACTTTAAATGGGAAAATGATTATAATCTCTATATTTTAATACTATAGATAATGCTATAGTACAGCAAATTCATCTATCAGCGTCTAAAACTGTTTTGTAATATCTGTTTCATCTCTGCTGCCAACTCACAGTTCTGCTTAAAATTCAGTTAATTTGCACTCATGTAAAAAATGCTAGCTTAACCCTGAGAGTCCTAAAAATCAAAAGCATGAAATAGTTTATCTAACCTTTCAAAATTCATCAAACCAATGGGACTTTAGATATGAAAACAGATACTCAAATAGTACAAATTATTTAATTTTAACTTTCCTTATGTCTATTATTAAGTATTCATCTACAATTCAAATTCACTCCACTGTGTACCCTTAACTATTTTTAAATAAAATATTCACAACAGTACCTCAACCCCTGCTTTTTACTACCAGCTCTTTAAAGAAACCAAAATCCAAGTCAAATTTAAGAGTCTTCTGGAAAACACAGAGGATAATTGTTCCTCATAGTCACATAACCTGAAACAATTATACATTTTTATCATCTATCCTCCATTGATGTATTTCCAGAGTATAACCATTTTTACTTCTCACACAAAATTTATGCTGTATCAGGGACACCATCTACGTTAAGAATGATCTTCAAATACTTGTCCAAGTAGGTTATTCCAAGCATATTTTTCTTTTCTAGATAGCATCCTACAACTTCTGCACTTTTTCAATTCCATCAAGACAAATGCTTTGAAGCCCACCATTTTCAAAAAGCTCTTACCCAGTCTAGACTGGTTTTAATTACTGAGCTTCTAAAGCAATTTTATTACTTGATAAAACTTCGATGTAATTCCACCATATTCGAATAAACTTTTGATACATATGTATGTACACACATACATACACACACACACACACACACACACACACACACAGAGAAAGATAGCCTTTCTTTGCTGGGTCTTCTTTGAGTCCCTACATCTTCCAATAGCCTAAGGTTTCCCATCTGTGTGATTATTAACTAAGGAAGCAGGAGTACAATGTATAATTGTGTACAGATTTTAAGCATACTGTGTAGCACAGTTCAGCAAAAAGTAGGATTTCTGAGGCTGATCTAGGAATCCAGGTACTGTTTTAAGATTACCAAGATACAGGACAACTCACTTAATACACACTTCTAGTATACTTTAGATATGGCTTTGTACTTTTTATACTTAAAAGTTCCTTCAGTGTCAATCTTATACAGTACACCTACACATGTACTTATAGTAAAAATATGTAGTTACATTTGTTCCTAAATATCAATTAAAGGCATAGTTTATTAAAGGTTTCCTTATGATTTTCTCAACCCAATTCCTTAAACCAAATATTAGAAAGGATTCACAAAAACCCACAGAAAGGAGAATTATCATATCTTGATCTACAATTATATGTACATATCTGGATTAATAAAGAAATCACACAATGAAACAGCTCTCCTTTTCAATCATTGGGAAAATGTTCTCATATTGGTCACTAATGAAAACTTTTCAATACTCTTATCAAAAAAAAATGAGCCAAAGTACTCAAACCTGATGTGAGTATATGAGTATTTGAACCAATAGATTTAAAATAATATAAAACTCCTTTGGAGATAATTTGGTAACAACTACACTTTCAGAGTGGTAACATCCGGTTCCACCTGTGCACTCTTGCTCCAGTGGGGCAAGGGCTTTTCACCCAGAGGTATCTGTAGCTGCAGGACTCACCACACCATCACACAGACCACCACTTGCCACCATCTGTGACCTTGACTAAGCAGTGTGTCAGTTTGCTCACTCATTGAGAAACATTACCTACCTTCACAATTACAGTGAACATCAAATTAGTAAAGACTCATACAGGATCTCAGAGTTGAAAGGGGCTACCTAGTACCTGGAATCCTGCATCTGCCTATAACTGTTCAAAGAAGAAAAAGTGAAATAACCCAACTACTCAACAGTTACACAAGCTTTGACCAAGCAAAAACCTATCAACACAGTAGGTATAGAGACCCAAGAAGTACACAGAAAATAATAG